ACGGCACGTAAGGCTCACGTGCTACTCGGACGGCAACGAAACTTCAGGATCGGCCGGTCAACACTGTAACATCCAAACTTTTAGACCCAAAAGTACCAGAAATAGCCTGAATTGGATAGGCTACCAGACCCCTTTTGAACAGAAGTCCCAAAGATGAGAAAGGAAGTCAAAGCAGTTTTAGGGACTAAACTGTAAAGTAAAAGTTTTAAGGGGCTAAAGTGTAATCAAAGTTAGAGGCTCCAGTAAAGTCTCAAAGGCCCAGAGAGAGAAAAGAGGCTAGATACAGGCCAAGGATTAAGTTAGAAACCTCAAAGAGAGGATTGTATGAAGTTAAGTCCAAGCAGGGACTAAATCGTAAATTCAAAAAGTTATGACTAACAGGGGTAAAAATGGAAGAGTATACAAAGAATTCCAAGAAAATCCCAGAAAATGGGAAATAATATTCTAAGGCTCTTCTGTGAAGAGAAAAGACAAAAGTACCTGTGAGGTAGCTTAAATGGAATTTATAAGGTTATGGCCAGTAAAAAGTACATTGTTTGAGGTAATTATTTAAAATAGCAAGAACCTCAAAAATGTATGCAAAATGAGATTAAATGGTTGAAAGGTCGTACTAATTTATAAAATTAGTCTCGTAACCAAAAGGGAATTTTTATGTAAGGCTTAAAGGAAGTGTTATGGCCTAAGAAAATTCATAGATATTTCCTAGAATTAAAGGGAATTTATGAAGCAAACAGAAGAATTTTCTGAGCTCCGGAAGGCAATAAAGAAAGCCAAAGAAACGTGGGCCAAGTAAATTCAGAGGAATCAAGTTTGATCTAATGGCTAGGATCTAATCTTCCTTCTCCTCCACCACATTTGTGACACTTGGCATCTTCTAGAAGGTTGAGGTAAGCATGATGAAGATGATGCAATGATGATGTAAAAGTCAACTTGAAGTTCTAAAATTTCCCTTATCCTTTCTATTAGCCACCAAGGGTATTTTGGTCCATTCAAGCCAAATTTTTGGCTATAAATAGGCACTCCCTCCCCTTCATATTTCGGCCAAGCAAGGATCTATAGGGGAAACTTTACTGCTCTTGCATCTAAAAAGAGAAAGAGCTATTTCTAGTGAGAGAAAGTCCACATAAGTTCAAGCTTCAAGATCAAGGTATGTAGTGGCTGTAGCATCTGATTTGATGCCTCTTTCGAATTAGTTACTATTCATATCTGATTCTAAAATTTTGCATGCTTAAATTACACTCTGTGAGCTTTAAATTCATGGGTAGAACACTTCATTTGGATATGTGTACGATTTATGGTGATTTTTCAAAGTTAGGGTTTGAAATCTGGAAACAGTGTTGAACTTTTGGAAAAGTTTCAAGTTCCGTACAATTCTGGTACTGTTCAACATAGAATTGGTTCCTGAAACTATTTTTCCTTTAAAGCTAACTTAAGGAGCTTTTAGTAAGACTTAGAACCACTCAATTTTGATTTTTCTAGAATTAATTATGAATTTTCAAAGTTGAGCAAAAATTCTGGAGTTTCTGCGTGAACAGTACCCACGAACCAAAATTTCCAGATTTGATATTCTTGAATCTAAGGCCATCTAAAGTAGTCCTAATTGACAAGAAAAGGATCTTAAGGATGGGAAATGATGAGATTTATGTTAGAGAAGCTAGAAAGAAAACCCTAAAAGCAAGAGAAAGGGTTGAGGTTCAAGAAAGCTAGTCTCAAACTTTATGTAATCTAGTGGTCCTAATAGATTGTATGATCATTATGACTATGTTTAGGACCTTTGGAACATCCAAGAGGACATTTGGTGATTTTGACCGAATGCCTACATGGTTGGGAAAGTCAAGGGAGTCAAAGGAAAAGTAAGAGGAAAGCTTGAGGCGCAAGGTAGTGAATTACCTATTGTCATTGCTTGATGTTGTATGCTTGTGTGTTGCCGTGTACATGTTATTGAATGTTCACTACTACAAAATGAAAAATACTCGACGGTTATTTTGGATCATATTTGACGGTTAAAAACCGTCAACTATACTGGCGTCATATATTTCAACAGCAAATATTTGACGGTTATTAACCGTCAAATATTTAAATCATACTTGACGGTTACTAGAGAAAAACCGCCAATTATTTTGAGATTATACTTGACGGTTCCAAAAACCGTCAAGTATTCTGGAATACTTGACGGTTCCAAAAGTGACCATCAAGTATTATGAAACATACTTGACGGTTATTTTTGAAAAACCGTCAAGTATTATTTAATACTTGACGGTTTTAAAAGTAACCGTCATGTTAGAATACTTGACGGTTTTAACTAATAACCGTCAAGTATTATTGGTTTTTTTTTTAAATTCGTTCTCCTTTGCCAGCAACCCCCTGCAATTTTGAAACCGATAACAAAGGCTCATTTAACAGAATCATGCAGGCCAGCATTCAAACCAATTCAGCCATATACATATATGTTAATGAACCGAAAATAATTTACATTATCATATATATACATGAACCAATGAAAACCAACTATGATATATTAAAATTCTGGCAAGTACAAAAGGTGAACCAATTCCAAAATTAGCCAATTGCCAAAGTTGTGCAATGCCTAAAACTAACCAACAGCCAAAAATGAACCAAAACCAAAATTATATTGAAACCAAAGCTAGCTGTACGTACATACACTGTCTTAATGTACACTTCCCTATCTATGTTGTGCCCACTGACGGAATAAGGCCATCGCCAACTCCTCAACGATTTCTTCCATCTGAGCAGATGAATACACTGTGCAATATGTGTCGGCAAAGTACTGTATGCAACCACAAATTATGACTTAAGTTAGATAGAAATGTAAAGCTACAGTAAGTACAATAATTCTTAAATATATAAATTGAACCTTAACAAATGCATATTACCTGCGTGGGAATTGTGTCAGCATTGTGCAGAATTATCTCCTTCATAAATTTCATCACGCAATATCCACAATGGGAGCTCTTGTTGGGCTGACGTGGGCACTGTAAAGAATGGAAAAGGAAATAATATTAGTCAATCATATAAATAAACCATATTTAGTAGAATAGTAAATAATGGTAGTGAATACCTTCACTTTCTTCCACGGGAAGGTATCGTCAAATTGGCCGTTTTTTACCGGGGGCAGGGTAAGGCCTGATTTGTGCGGTATAGCCACAAAGCCCTGAGAAGACAATAAAATTGAATATTAATGATTGTCAAAAATTTGATTGAAGCAAGAAATTAAATTAAATTTAAATAATAGAGATAAATATTACTTGTTGAACAATGAAACCATAAATGGTCGATTGGTTGGATCCCCATGAAGAGAATCAAGATACCAAATCCTCGGCTTTGTGGGATTGACCACAATCAGCATCCAGTGTCCCCTAAGTATAAGAAAGACAATTAGAACTATTACAAATTATTTTGAAAATGAAAGAATTTAGGAAAGTTTACCCTTGACAATAAGGCGCCAAAAACAAAGTCTGAGCCCCCGGTGTTGCCCTAGAAATGAAGATATCTAACAAGTCTCTGGATAAGTCTTTCTTCATATTAGGTCCGTGGCCAGCAAAAGTGTGGGGGCTGATAATCTTGAACTTGTCATCAAGGCCACCAGGGGCTATGAAGTTCTTGAAAAGATATCTAAATCAACAAACGAAGATATCAATAGAATAAATGTTCAAGTACTTAAGTATTTAGTTAAGGTTTTAACAAATACCTGATATAAAAGTTACAGGCATTTGTGCTGGCCATTCCATGCGTCAGAATCTCTTTCAATACTTCATTTGTGACATAATCTGACGAGGGTCGACCGTATACCTCTGGCTCAAACTCTAGGGGAATCATGAAATCCTCGCCATGTTCTAATCTGGCCCCAATTGCATATTCCTCAAGACATATTCGGAATCTTGATGATACCACTTGAACGGGCTCAGAGGGCTGCTTCTGTGGTGATGATAATGAGTGATCACCCAATAGGCTCTTCTTCCCCTTAGACTGACAAACAGACTGTTAGTAATTAAAATAGAGTTTATTTTAAATCAGCTGAATTTGTAGACCTATACATATATACCTTTGAAGGATGTCCTAATGTAAGAAGACGGCCAGGCCAAGCGACAAAGCTACCCACTGCTTGAGCCACTGTCTCTGCATCTGGGGTGGGTATCGGGAGGGCATAATTCGCATCAATAGCAGTGTTCAACTGCACCCTCACATGATCAGCAGGGAGAGGAACATTATGAATTATACTCTCCCCCGGTAAATTGAACATGCGGCCCGTTGCAACAGTGTGATGTTTAGGGCTATCCGCCATACACTGAACGTCCGCTTCACCCTGATTTGTTTAACATGAGAGACAAGTTAGCTAGATATATAAATTATTGAATGTAATTATATAAACACAAGTATTATACCTCAGGTAGCAAGGGGAATGTGCAGCTGTCTTTGCCACTTGGGCTGAGATTCGGAGCCGGCTGTGGTGCTTGATTCTTGATCAACTGCTCGATTAGGAGCGCTTGCGCTTTAACTTGCTCCTTTAACCAGCGTGTTTCTTCCTTCAGCTCCATGAACTCAGCAGAGGAAGGCGTGCACGATGAAGAGGGCTTTTGTCGGTACCAAAGTAATCTCTCTTGGTGACTCCATAACCGACGCCCCTAAGAAGACCAGGATGGTCAGGAGTCCCCAATGCCCTCCTCAATATATCCTGGTCATCTGCAGAATATGCCCCCTGCGAAACTTCCTGGGACAAACTCTCCTGTGCAACAAACATTGATATAGTTATTCATACTTAAAGATATTTGACAATAACGTGAAGATTATTTAATTTAGAATAATACTCACCATCCTGTCCACGACCTCCTTAACGCGAGGATTATCAATTTGGCCATCTTTATTTTGCCTGGCCAGTGCCCACAGCATCTGACATGATACAGTGACATCTGATCCCTCCTGCTGAAGCTCAAGGCCCGCATAACCCAAGCGGCCCTTTCGGTAGGGATACTCATTCTTCTTTACTCTTTCCTTATTTTGGAACTTAATTCCTGCAAAAACAAAGTAGATTCACAATTAAACAATATATAGATTAAACAAAATGGACTATTTAATATCAAAAAGAGCGAGGATTATTACTTGAAATTGCCTATCACGACGTGACGTCACAAAAGCAGCCCAATCCTCTGGTTTGACCAAGTCCCGTATCAAGCTAGGAACCTGGGACTCGTCGGCTGTGGAAGGATCCTTCAAGTACTTGTGTGTGACAAAATATCGGAAAGAGCGTAGTGCCCTCCCAGCCTTCCCCTCCACAAACCTCTTCCTGCTCTCATCTATATCAAATGCAGACTGCAAAACATATAAAACAACACATTAGTGTCACGCAGCTTGTAAGAAAACGAAATTTGAGTTATAATATATTACCGATACATCTGTCCAAATAGTGTCTCGCACTGAACGATCAACCCTCCTCCAGTGCTGCGCTGTAATGGGCACGGTGCTTCGTGCCACTGCCCCAATATAGCTGATAAATTTATTTGACCGTACAGCTTGTCCTTTCTTATTCCACTGTACGGCAAATTTCTTTCCTTCTGTTCGAGCTTTCACGACCTCTTGCATGACACAAAGGCCCCTCTGTATGCGTGCTGCCTCCTCTTGCAACTGTCTCTCCTGCTCAGAGGCATCTCTCGGCTGAGATGGGTTATCAGTGCTAGATCCGCTATCGTCTGCCATCTGCAATGAAATTGAAGTAAACAAAATGAATCAGAATCCATTAAATGAAAATAAAGTCATTAATGACGAAATTTATTTGAACAAAATTAAAACAAATAAAAGAATCAAAGAAAATAATGAGAGAATTTACATGCATGTTTAAGAAGATCTTTTTCTTTTTCTACTCTTATGTTTTTGCATGTTCTTCTTGGTTTGAATTGTTTTGATCTTCTTACGAAACACTTTCCCCCTCTTTGAAATCCATATTCCGTCGTTGTGATCATGCCTGACATACATGGATTGATCTTCATTTAAATGAGAATCAAGTGAGGCCCCTTGAAATGGATCATCTTCAATTGCATTGTCTTCATACCCCGTCTCTTCAATATCCATTTTATTAGTCAACAAAACAATAGACCATCCTTTGGCAGCCGGGTCAGGGACATAAAACACTTGCGTAGCCTGAGAAGCCAAAATGAATGGCTCTTCCTTGTATCCTTCTTTATTCAAATTCAATTGTATAAACCCTAAGTCATCAATCCTCAATGCATTATTATTATCCACCCATTTGCAACCAAATACCGGAACTCTGAATTCAATGTAATCCAACTCCCAAATATCCTCAATCACTCCAAAGTATGACATACGTGCATAGATAGGATTTTTATCTTTGGCACTCGATATATGCATGGTACTAGCTACAAGAGTTACGCCACTATTTTGCTGTTTACTCCGATCATCTTGTCGTTTAGTATAGAAAGTGAACCCATTCATAAGGTAGCTTGTGAAAGAAATCACATGTTTGCTCGGTCCATCTGCCAACAACTTTAATTTCTTCGAAACAGAATTAGGATCATTATTATACTTGCCATGCACATGCTCTCTCAACCATGCTGTAAATTGTTTATTGTGTGTTTTGGTGTACCAACTTTCAAGTTTATTGGGATTATCCCTCTTTAGCTCATCAATATGCTCATGCACATAGTCCTCAATCTCTTCGGAGTTGTGCAATACATATAGATGTGCCTGCTCCCACTGTTGGTTTGAAATAGTTACGACTTTCTTTCCCATAATCCCTTCTCCATCTGTCCTTCCCTCATGACGAGACATTGGAACCCCAATATCACTTGCATTTTTTAAGTAATGGGTACAAAATTCAGTAGCCTCTTCACAAATATATCATTCTACAATACAACCCTCTGGCCGACTTCGATTTTTCACATACCCTTTCAATATTTTCATGTAACGCTCAACTGGGTACATCCATCTTAAATACACTGGGCCACACAATTGGACCTCTCTAACTAAGTGGATGGTTAAATGGACCATGATGTCAAAAAAGGCCGGAGGAAAATACATTTCAAGTTCACATAACGTAACTATGATTCGGGTTTGCAATCTTGGCAATTTACTAGGATTAATCACTTTGCTGCAAAGAGACTTAAAGAAGAAACATAACTTTGTGATCGTAACTCGTACCTTATCAGGTAAAATAGCCCGTATTGCCACTGGAATAAAGTTTTCCATTAAGACATGACAGTCATGAGATTTTAAACCTTTTAACTTCATATCCTTCATTGACACAAGGTTACTAATGTTAGAAGAGTAACCTTCTGGCACTTTTACTGAAGCAAGAAACTCACAAAAACTACTTTTCTCTTTTCTAGAAAGGGTGTGAGCTGCCGGACGAAGAAATGTACGAGTTCCCTTATCCTCTGGTGCCAATTCCTCCCTTATCCCCATTTCAACCATGTCTAGCCTGGCATTTATGCCATCTTTAGTCTTCCTGGGAATATGGAGTAATGTGCCAAACAGACTTTCACATACGTTTTTCTCAATATGCATAGCATCAAGAAAATGTCTCACATTTAGGGTTATCCAATACGGCAATATAAAGAAAATAGACCTCTTCTTCCACCCACTTGTCCCAACATGCTTCGCGAAAGGTTTTCCAAATTCACAATCTATATCTTTCACCTTTTGAAATACATCCTCCCCAATCAACGGTGTTGGTGCCTTACCTTCTTCTGAATTCCCATTAAAATATTTTTGAATCGCCGGTAAGGATGATCACGATGCAACCATCTACGATGTCCCATATATGAATTTTTCATTCCATGCTTCAACCTTATGGAATCTGTGCTCTCTTCACAAATGGGACAACCAAGTTGTCCTTTAATGCTATACCCTGAGAGATTACCATACGCAGGAAAGTCGTTAATTGTGCCAAATAACATAGCTCTCAACTTGAATTTTTCTTCCTTATATGCATCATATACATCAACTCCATTCTCCCACAATACTTTCAAGTCTTCAATTAATGGAGCTAGATATATATCTATGTCATTTCCTGGTTGCTTTGGCCCAGAGATTATCATAGACATCATTGAATACTTGCGTTTCATGCATAGCCATGGAGGAAGGTTATATATAAACAAAATCACTGGCCATGTGCTATGGGTGCTGCTTTGCATCCCATAAGGGTTCATCCCGTCGGTGGCTAATGCAAGGCATAGATTTCTATCTTCTTCCCCGAATTCAGGATACTCAATATCAAACTTCTTCCATTCTGGAGAATCAGCAGGATGGCGAAGCATGCCATCTTTAACCTTTCATCTGCATGCCACCTTAAATTTTTCGCATCTTCTACATTACTATACAAGCGTCTGAATCTTGGCACTATGGGAAAATACCATAATGCCTTCTTCGGGCTCTTCCCATTCTCTTGGTAGCGTGATGCATTACACTTAGGACACTCAGTTAGTGACTTATACTCCTTCCTAAACAAAATGCAATCATTGGGGCAAGCATGTATCTTCTCATAGCTGAGGCCGACAGAGCGCAACACTTGCTTTGCATCATACGTTTTACTTGGAAGCTCATTTTCTTTCGGTAGCATTTGTTTAACAAGCAACAGCAGTTCTATGAAGCCTGTGTCGCTCCACCCATTTCTTGCTTTCAAATTATACAGTTTCAACACTGCAGACAATTTTGTGAAATCAGTACAACCTTCATATAGAGGTGTCTCAGCATCACACTTCAATCTATCAAACATTTCAGGACAATCGTCAAGTTCCCGTTCAATCGCATCTGTCATCTCCTCAAGACGATCGGCTTCACATGTACTCATGTCAAGATTAGATGATCCACAGCTTTCACTATGCCCTCGACTACTATTACTCACATCTCTTGTCTTTCCGTGCTTTGTCCAACACTTGTAACTTTGATCAATTCCATTGATAATTAAGTGGCTCTCACAATCGATGGCGAAATCCACTTAAAAGGCAACACTTAAGACAGGGGCAAATAATCCTGTTGCGATCATCGACGTGCTCAATCGCAAACTTAATAAAATCTTCTACCCCATCCCAATATTCTTTTGATAGACGATTGGCGGACATCCATTCTTTGCCCATGGTCCCCGACTAAGATGAATCATTTAGAGGAAAATGTGATCAGTGACTCAAAGATATTATGAGAATTAAACAAAAATAGAAAGTCAACACATGAGCCACTATTGATCACATTTATCCCTCTTTAATTCTACTTGCTAACAACTACTAGTTGTTAGTAACTAGTAATTCAACAAAAATTTACTTTCATTTCAGTTTGAAAATATTCTACTAATACTAATGTGCTATTCCATTTGGAAAAAATTCAACAGCATAACGGCTTATAACTTAGAATTCCCCAGGCTTTATGGCAGAAAACCAAACCAGCACATAGTCAATTTCAATTACAAAAACAAAAATCAAAACATTAGCATTGCATTCCCCAGACTTTATCATGAAAACAAAAAACTAAAACACCCTAAACCCAAACTGATCAAAATACGAAACACCCATTTAGAATCAAGAACAAAAAAAAACCCATTCGGCCAAATAGCAAACCCATTTTCCGTGTGTATGGTGAACGGTCCTAGCATTATCCTATCATTCCCTTTCCACTACAATCATTTCTCAAAGGAAGAACTAAAGGAAATAAGGGGAGCGAGTGAAGGATTACCAACCTGAAGCCGAAATGACAATCTGGAGAATGCACGACAGTGACGAAGCAGGAGGATGCCACAACGATAATGGAGGACACCGAGAGGGACGATGATGGAGGACGAGCAAGGACGGGCAAAAAAAGCAAAAGGGAACGGCCGAAACAAAGGTGGGTACGGCGGCTTGGAGAGTTCGAAGCAGAAGGGGCGCAATCGGGAGAATGCACGCACAATGACGAAGCAGGAGGATGCCGCACTGATAATAGAGGACACCGAGAGGGACGATGATGGAGGACGAGCAAGGACGAGCAAAAAAAGCAAAAGGGAACGGCCGAAAAAGAGGTGGGTAGGGCAGCTTGGAGAGTCCGAAGCGGAGGGGGCGCTAGAAATTTTGAACTGAAGAGATTGAACAGGGGAAAGGGACGGGTTTTTAAGCACAATACTTGACGGTTTCTATTAATAACCGTGAAGTATTCTCAAATAATATTTGACGGTTTTAAATCAAAACCGTCAAGTATTACTAAACTTGACGGTTTTGATTTAAAATCGTCAAGTTTAACTTTAATATACTTGTTCTACTAAAATTGACGGTTTCTTTAGAAACCGTCAAGTTTTCTTCCGGGGGATTATATTTGACGGTTTTTGTGATAACCGTCAAATATTTAGCGTCAAGTATTCCCCAATTTGTAGTAGTGGTTATTGTGACATGTTTTAGCTACTGTAATTGCTATTCATGATGAGTAGATTATGTCTCCATGGCCATGCATCAAAAAGTTAGCTTTGAGCATGCTAATATGTCACTAATTAACAAGAGAATAAACAAGTTACGTGTAGTGCATTAGCATCCATCTAGCATGAATAATATGGTATTGTTTGCTACTGAGATTCCTGAATCTCACCCCTCTCTAACCAACCATATAGGTCAATCAATGATGGGCAATAATGGCATGAGAAGCAAGGAGAAGAAAGTGGAGAATTATTGATGTCAATGAATGATATTATTATTCATTGTGTAATTCTCTTATTATGTAATTATTGTTATGGATGTTTGTGATGCCATGTATTTAATTATAATGCTTATGGCATGTATAGAAATGTATGAGCATGAATGCGAAAGAGAAAGCCCATGTTATGTATGCGAACAAAATAAAAAGAATTAAAGTAAGGAGATGTTAAAGGATAAAATGT